TTCAAATAAACTTAATGTAAGCACTTTTGAATAGTTATGTTTTTTTATTAATGCCAACTCATTATGACAATCATGGCCAGAAGCTTACGTGTTGCTATTGCCAGAAGATAAAAGTTGTTCTAAGTAAATACACATTAACAAGGATTAGGCATGCGATAATCAACATGAAACTGCTACGCACTCAATCAGATAGTACAATCAGTACTATGAATTTTAAGTTAGTTTTTTTCTATCATAACGTTAATTTTATAATGAACTTTTTTAGAAAGAAAGTCTAAGGTACTTAGTTATGTATCAGATATGAAAGAAAAATAAAGAAAAGTATAGTTATAAGCATGGCTACTTGTATATATAAAAATGTCCGCATATTTATATATACATTTATAAACATTTGTTTGTCTCAGTCATTAGAGAAAACCTCGGTAGGCAGGTAGTTCATTCTATATATGCCGTAAAAAATTACTATCACAGAGTAATTGTATATTTTTTAGTTCGGTTTTTCTCAACTCAGGGAGAGTCAAAAGGACTCAGCTCATACATCCATTGGTAATTGTTATTTTTTTATAACAATAAATTTCTCAAGAAATACAGTGTAATGGTTATTTTTTGTGACAGTAAATTCTTACTAACATTATAAATCTGAAAGTAACTAGGTCTGTCTCGCTTTCAAGCCAAAACTACTGAACCATTTTAAATTAAATTTATAAAACAGATAGTCTAGACACTTGGAAAGGCTACTTTATTGCGAAACAAGGGATGTAAGGGTTTAAAAAGGGAGATGAATTTTTTGAATGAAAGTATAGTTATTTTTAAAGCTAGAAGCTTGAAACTTATTAGTTAAGATATTCAATAACAATTAATAAATGTAACAATAAAAGTTTGTACAATTTTTACCCTTAAATGGGTAATATAAATTAGGGGATGAAAGTTTGTATGAAAATTCTACTTTGGTCATCTATTCCACGCAGACGAAATCGCGGGCACAGCTACTTGTTTAATAAATCTACAATCTTGTTGTATTTTGTATTTTATCACGACTATTCTTTATCAATTCACTCAATTTGACATAAAATATCGTTTTCTGTTAGTTGTTATGACAAGGGTAGAAAAGTTTGTTCAGAGTTTTCGATATAAAATTACAATATTAGGATAGTAAAGTTATGAAACAAATTTGGAATTGCTTAGAAGCAGCGAGTACTGGATATTAATCTTCAATATGATAATGTAGTGGAATAATAATAATATCTCACGGTAACTTAGATAGCGCAGCTAGACCCAAGCTAAGCAGAGCTTGTGTTATGGGTGTCAGACAATGGATAAAAAATAATTTGTTTTTGTAAAAAAATAAATTACATAAAAAGTCCTATGTCTAATAAATACATAATATACATACGATATAAGACAACATTAGTCAGAGAGAACTCAGAGCAATCAAAACGATCACACCAACTGTGAGCCACCACAGCTGTGATCATGTAAATTTTGCGACTTTTTAAATCTAATATAATAAGTTAAGTCATCATCATCATTGCCTTGCCTTTATCCCTTTATTTGGGGTCGGCGCAGTATGTCATTCTCTTCCACTGCTCTCTATCAGTCGTCATATCTAAACATACTCTTCTTTTATTCATGTGACATCCGGGAAGAGGATTGTTAATAACTCCATTGCTAGCAATGTACCATGTCAGCTTGACCTCCACGTGGTTTATTTATTTATTTATTTATTTATTAGAAAACCAACAGCTTACAATCTAATACATTAATCAAAAGTACATATCTAAAGAAAGCCAATAACAGGTTTTCAGTGAATTAGCAAAAGAAAATAAAACAGAACGTGGCAAACAGAATAAGGATTAATTTAAAAGTACAAATCAAATATTATAAATTTCACAATATATAAAACTAATAGAACAATTTTAAGAATAACTTTAAGAATTACAAATATTATAATAGTATTTGAATTAGATACTATTTATTTATATTATTAGTCACTTGTGTGTGTGTGTGTTTCTGTAAGAAAGAATGTGTGTGCATGTGTATAATTAAAGTGTATGAAGATAACTATAAGTTGTGATTAAGAATATGAATGAGTTTCGTTTTATATGTGTTTTTAGAATAATATCTAAAGGGGTCTACGTCTTTAAAGTATTTATTATACGTCGACATTATACGAGAAAATATAGAATTTTTAGCATAGTTAGTGTGGGCAAGCGGTACCGAGAATAATGGTGTTCCACGTACACGACGGCGGGGAACAGAGAATGCAATTGTATTGAGGATCCGTGGGCTATCAATGTTTCCCATGATAATATCATATAGAAAAGAGGCATCCAAAAGTTTACGACGCAAGTCTAATGTTAATAATTTATAACTTTTACATCCTTCCTCATAATTTGTGAAAGTCTTTTGTTTAAAGTTAAGGTATTTAATAAATCGCCATTGTACCTGCTCCATGCGGTCTTTATAAATTTGATACTGTGGTGACCATATGCAACTCGCATACTCTAGTGTACTACGTACATATGCAAAATATACAGATTTCAGGCATTGTATGTTTTTAAAATATCGGCATACACGCTTCACAAAACCTAAGCTCTTGAGCGCCTTAGCTACAACAATGTCTATATGTTTGTCCATTAAAAATTTGCTGTCAAAATATATACCAAGATCACGTATTAGGTTAACTCGCTGGATTGGGATGTCGTCTATGGTATATGTAAATATTAAAGGAGTTTTACGTCTTGTAAAACTGATAATTTGACATTTATCATGACTTACAGTAATATTATTTTTTTTGTAATAATTACTCAAAGAATTTAAGTCATTTTGTAATTTGTAACAATCAGAGACACTGCTTATAACACGGTAAATTTTTTTATCATCGGCATACAATAAATATTCCGTATCAGCAAAGCTTAAGTAAATATCATAAAGATAAGCATTATAAAACAGAGGCCCTAAATGCGATCCCTGGGGAACTCCGGAGGGAATGTCAACAAAATTAGATCGAAAACCACCTATTACAACAGCCTGAGACCTGTTCGACAAATAGGAAATTACCCATCGAAGGAGATCCCCATTTATACCCAATATATTTAATTTTTTTAATAAAGTTTCATGATGTACGCGATCGAAAGCTTTTTCAAAGTCTGTATAAATTACATCCACCTGTCCCCCTCTCTCCATATTGTTTAACACATAAGATGAAAAAATAGCCAAATTAGTAATGGTCGATTTAGATTTTAGAAAACCATGTTGGTTATCTGTGATGCTGTTACTGATAGTGGGATAGATTGCCGCATATACAATTTTTTCTGCCACTTTGCTAAAAGCATTTAAGATGGATATAGGTCTGTAGTTTTCAATCTTGGTCCTGGCACCCTTTTTGTGGATTGGAACAATAAGTGCTTGCTTCCAAATTGAAGGAAATGAACCCTCACTTAATGACCTATTATAAATAATGGTAAGCGGCCGTGTCAGTGGTTTTGCACACTTTACAATGAAGTATGGATGAACCCCATCGCTACCTGCGCCTTTTCTAGTATCTAATTTAGATATAAGATAAAAAACTTCAGCCTCGGTTACCTGCACAGATTGGATATATCCTGTGTCTCCACATAGAGGTGAAGGTAAATCATTATTTATACTATTGGTTTGGTTTGGTTGGTTAATAAAAACGCTGTGAAAGAAGTTATTAAATCCATTTACGATAGATTCACCATCTGAGTAAGTACCAGAGATCGAGTTAAAAGTTTGTGGATACGAATCATTTAATCTTTTTGATTTAATATAAGACCATAGTTTTTTTGGGTTTTCTATGATTTGTTCCTGTATTAAATTAATGTAATTATTTAAACATTCCTTCTCTTTTAAGTGAAACCTTTTTCTAAGCAATGAGAATTCGTCATAATCTCTTAAGTTATTGGTTTTCTTCCATCGCTTGTGCACCTTTGTTTTATCCTTTAAAATATGTATCAGAGATTTGTTGTACCATATAGGATACCGATTGTTGTTTTTAGTATATGTTGGGATAAATTTATTAATATTTTCATAGATTATATCGTAAAAAACGCGAGTAGCCTCTTCAACGGTACCATTTTTCAAAATACTATTCCAATCTTTATCTGATAAAGAGAAATTAATTTTTTCATAATCACCCTTAAAAAATTTATACTTGGGTAAAATATTTTCTTTAAAGGATTTTGTTACAAGATCGAGACTATCAATGTGTAGGACTGGGTGAAATGTATCTTCTCGTACTAAAGGATAATCACATTTTTCTATTTCAATACAAAAGTTAGAAAATACCAGATCCAATACATTGCCATGAGAATTGCTAATGATATTGTGTTGTTTGAGACCACACAATGTCGTTTCGTTTATTAATTTAATACCTACTTCTTGAATTTCAATAGCACCTTTTTTTAAAAAAGAAGGTCCGTCGCAGTGCCATTCAATATTTGACAAATTAAAATCCCCTACCAATAACACTCGGTCATTACTAAAATTTGTACAAAGATTGTTTACTGTATGTAGAATATTATCAATATCACGAGATTGATTCGGGAGGCCACCCGGGATATATGTTCCTCCTATGTGCAAGTTAAATGATGTGTGACAATTGTCATAAACAATACTTCGAGAGGGTATCGTCAACCAAACTGACTCTGTAGGTGAGATAGACCACTCGGGACGCGGAATGGCACACAAGTTACGCATAGTACAGATCATGACTCCCCCGCCAGTGGCTTTACCCGTAAGTGTGCGATTCCGATCACACCGATATACATCATAACGGTCGTCACAAAGTTCTGCATTAAAAATTCCGTCACATAACCAGGTTTCCGTTATGATAATGATATCATAATTATTTGTTAAAATATTTCGAAAAAAATCTGACGTTTTAGTGCGTAAACCGCGCGCATTTTGATAATAAATTTTTAAATAATTTAAGTCACTGAATTGTACAAACAATAATTACCATCGTAGTCATGCTTAATACCTGATACGAAACGTAATTATCTAAAATACTGTTTTTATTTGCATAACCATACTGCAATTTAAAACAATTCCCTAAGTCAATACCATTGCATATTTTATTCATTTTTATACACTTAATATCAAACTTGTTATAATTAATGCGCGCGGATATATATATTATGTTAAATAAAAGAATAATTTTGGCGGTGTTTATAATATTGCTGTCAATGTCGGGTAGACAAGCGTTTTTTAGTGTCGACTCACGCTCATTTGTATTGTACGAGTGGAATAGCACGATCAATTCACCAAAGTTAAATGTCATGAATGGATGTTCCTTTATAGCACAGTTTAAAATAATTATTTCACTAACCATAAGATAAAATATAGTGTACTTTATGTAGGTTTTAAAAGCTGATAATAATATTAAGATAAAGTGATTATACTCCAGTATTAGGGCAGAGTTTTTAGAATGAATTAGTTTTACGAATGTTGTATTTACTATTGTGTTTTCAATAACGTACTCCAAAAATAAACAAGAGAAATAGAATTGTAGTGTGATAAATGTATTGTAATGTGTGTGTGTTTGTATATGTTTGTAGTTTGTGTGGATTAATAGTCTTGTAGAAAATAGTATGAATAGAACAAGATGTAGACTGACAGTTAGCGTTTCGAGATATTGTATTAATATAGTATTAATGATGACATGAACCTTCGTGACTGAAAAACAGATACACTGTTGTTTTTGGTAGAAAAATAAAGAAGTTGTAACACAAAGCAGTAACAAAAATGTTTCTAACGGATTTTTGATATGTCGCAATCGTTTTTTATTAAAATAGCTGGTGAAGTTTCGTTTCGTCTCACGAAAATCTGACAGTTTTTTACCCACACATATTTAAATAATTTTGTTTTAGCTATATCTTTTACCTTTTTAAGTAGTAATTTATTATTACTGGTCAGATGTTCGTTGACGTAGATCCGACGATCTTCGCCTGGAATACCCACATCCTTGGTCTTTATTCCATGACATTTTCGTAAACCAGAGATGATGTTGTCTTTATGCAGCCGAGATTTTAATTTTATTACAATTACCCTGGGTCGCCCTTGAATGATTTGTCTTGGTTGAATGCGATTTCCATGTTCTATGCAATCTCTGGTGATGACAACGCCTGCGTGATGTGCAATTTTAATAGTGAGATCTATTAGGCATTCATTTTTAGCTTCAGGCACGCCGATAATTTCTAAGTTATGAATCCTTTCCCTTTGATGGTATATATTTAATTCACCTTTTAGTTGATCAACCTGTGTATTTAAATTCTGTACCTTGTTGTCAGTTGTAAGCAGGATTTTATTTGTAGATTCCAAATCACATATGCGTTTTTGTAAATCAGAGTGAGAACTAGATTGAAATTCCATACTATTCTTTAAATCTAGAATATCTTTGACTACTTCAGTTTGGCGTACCTGTAAATTGGAGATTGTTGACTCGAGTTTGTCGTAGTTTTTGCGCAGTTTATTTAATTCCTCCTGCATATCCAATGTACGTGTAGATAATGTGTCCAGTTCACATCTTATCACTGTATCTATTTTGCTATTAATACTTGAAATCCCTCTATCTATATCAGCTTTCCATGAGTTGATCTTCTCAAAAAGTCTTTCTGAGAGTTTTTCTATTTGTTCGCATGCAGAATCTTCCGGTTGTTTTCTTTTTCGTGATGGATATCTCTGCATATTTTCTGTAGTTAAGTCTGGGTTCGATGAACATTTCGTGGGAGTTCTCTGTAGCGACATAGTAGTATTTTCACTATATACTTAAGCTTTCACTATTATTTTAGACTTGTAATAATTTTTCTTCCTTAGATTCTAAATTTATTAAGTAAACAGTTATAAATTTTAATTTTAAATTTCGGTATTGCTAATGACACGTCTGTTCGCCCCGAGCGTAGGGTAGATGTAGGTACTTATCACGATGGTTCCCTCTGGAAACCATCGTGATAAGTTCCTGGTGATTTATCACTAAGGGCTAACTGACCTGACCTCATCCTCCACTGGTTGCCCGCCAGGGTAAGCCCTCTTACAGGCGAGCTCGAACAGGAGAGTGCACTATTCTATTAACATTAAAAAAAAAGTATGTCACGTCAAGTCACAATGGTCAACCATATGACAAACATAGGTGGAATAATAAATAAATAAATAATAAACAAATGACCCTGGACAATTAACACAACGTCATGTCGTGGGGCTACATGACGTTGTGTTAATTGTTAAGCAGAGCTTCTATTATGGGTACTTGACAATATTTCTTATGTATATAATATACATAGAAAACATTAAGACCAATACAAACAACCATACTCTTGAATACAAATGTTTGCACCGTACAAGGAATCGAACTCGCGATCATCGGAAGTAAAGCGGTGTGCTAAACCGCTATACCAACAAGGTACAATCATATGATCATAAATGAAAAATCATATGATCTTATTTAAGGAGGACCCCTAAGTGATAATAAATTGATTACGCGTTTTCGTCACTAGACACTCACGCAAAGGTCGAATGAAATGAGGTGAGAATGAGTCGAGTAACATAAGGTCTACATTATGTTTCAGTTACTCGTCCCAAAGGAGCTGGAGGGTCGGAGTTAAGTTATTGAAGTAGCTGATACTTCTTTTCTTCATCAATCATCAATTATCCGATAGCATGTGTGTTATCTGCTCTATTGGCAGATGTTCTAGCGTTAGTTGTGGCTGTACTTAGTTCTTACACTCTTTTATTTAATAACTAGCTTTTGCCCGTGGATTCGCTCGCGTTCATTTATTAGGGGTGGAATTTATCAATATCCTTACTATGGGGATGCCTATGTCATAGTAGCTTTTTGCATGCAAAATCTCAGCTCGATTGGTTTAAAATTGACAAAGTTTCATACAAACTTTCATCCCCTATTTTATCCCCTTAGGGGTAGAATTAATCAAAATTCTTTCTTAGCGGATGCCGACGTCATAACATCTACCCGTATGCCAAATTTCAGCCTGATTCGTCCAGTGGTTTGGGCTGTGCGTTGATCACTATGTCAGTCACCTTTTATATACATTTAGATAATAACCCAGTAACAATAATAATAATCTTGGACAATTCACACAGCGCCATCTAATCCTAATTAAGAGCGTTTTCTATATACATTATGTATGTATTTAGAAAAAAAATGTATTAAAGTTTTTCTAGAAGTTGTCTTGTACCTATAACATGAACTCTGCTTCGCTTGGGAGTAGATGGCGCTCTCTGTTACTTATTTTACAATAATAACTATGTAATATAATAACTACATAATAATACTAAGTACTAACAATTTCATACACTTATAACAGTCCACCAATGAAATTAATGCGTTATATGAATTATCTTGAGTTGTTGTTATTAGGTATCTTTTTTTTACGTTCTCCAAATTATTCGGTTCAGTATTAAGAAATATTGATTCAGTGCCTACAATTAGAAACAAAAATTATCATTATAATATTAATTATAATAAAATATATACATGTATAAATGTATAATTAAAATAATCAAACAAGAAACAACCTTACATATATAGCATTGAATTAGCTCTATTCAGCTTTATAGCATGTTGTCGTATAATTTCTTTCAACGATATAATTTCTTTTTCATATTGCTTTCTCAAAACCCGCGGCAATCACTCCAGAAGCCGCGACGCTATCATATTTCTATGATAGCGTCGCGGCTTTTGGAGTGATTGCCGCATGCATCCTTATGTAAAGTGCGAATACTGTAACTATGACGAGGTCGAGTGGAATGAGTAGTCATGCTCACTAAAATGTCCAGACATGTGGCGGCGTGGTGGGCCGGATAATTGGGCTCCCTAAAATATGGTCGAGCGCAGTGATGGCTGGCTCATCCGTCATACTCGTGAACGAGTGCTGCTTGTAGGGACTGATCTGCTCTTATCACTACGACTAATTTAATCTTAGTGTGTTTTTATATTTGAACCTAAATGAATGAATGCAGGTTGGTAGTTTGTATTCACACGTTTCGACTTGTAAAGTGTGAACTTACAAGGATTGTTTAAAAGAGCAATACACAAGTTTCTTGCTTATTCTTTTTGTGATGAAACAGCTTTCCGAATAAGCGGTAGATTGTTGACTATTCAAAAGTGCTTAAATTAAATTTATTTGAATAAATGATTTTCTATTCTATTCTATTCTAGGCGAATATTCCACATTTCAGTGGCACTGTTATTAAAAAGATTATTATATAATATATTAGTAGTTTATTACTATTATATTACGAGTTACTTTCTCGATTCTCTAAACTTCCATCTATATCCCACGTATAACAACTAAATTAATTACTTTCTCTTATAAATAATGATCACAATAATCTGTTTCTATATATACAGGAGCCGTTACCCGAGAGAATCAAACATTTTGCCCAGTTGGCATCTGAAGTGGGCGGTATTAATACATATATAAATAACTATAAGCGAATGCGGAACAGGTTATTTTTCCTGTGGGAATTTGTATGGAAGAAACCAACGTCATCTACATTAATTTGAAGTATAAACACAAACGTAAGTTATAGAAATATTTTCTTATTTTCTCTAACCCGTCGTAGCTCTACTTTAATTAGGATAACAGTGTCTTTTAGTCTTTTCTGTTGTAGTGAGACAAGGACTATTTGTTCCAAATTTAATTTAAAACGGTTCAGTTGTTTAAGCGTTATTGTTTTGTAACTCTCCAGTTATAATTATAATAACATCCCTGGACAGACAGCGCCATCTTCTCCCAGGTTAGGCAGAGCTTGTTTTATGTGTACTAGACAACTGATACAAATACATATATACATTTTTGTATTGTAATGTACATAGAAAGTACATAAATAAATAGAAAAAAAATCTGAATTATAATTTAGATTTTTTTTGTATACAAACAATTATGCTTATGAATACATGTTTGTATCGTACTTGGAATCAAAACCGCGACCATCGGGAGTGAGGCGGTGTGCTTAACCGTTAAACCACCGAGACCGTCATCCATTGGTGTCTTATGTAAGCGTAAATTTTAAGTAAATGGAATGTTAAATAAGCAAGGCTACGTCATGAAAAGTGGCATGGTTTTCCACATAAACTGCATCACTATATCATATGTGGCCCCCAGTCACCACATGCGTTGTTAATCCCTGAAACGAAACGCTTATACCTCTGTCATATAATTAGCTAGCTACCCACCCCAGCTTCGCACGGGTGTACGTGTTTTATACATATAAACTTTCCTCTTGAATCACTCTATCTATTAAAAATACTGCTTCAAAGTCGGGTCGGACAGACAGCGACAGTGACTTTGTTTGATGCTATGTAATAATAATGATGCTATATCTAATCCACAAACTGAAATATTGCTTACACTTGCTGCATGGCGGCAGCTTTTAAAATATACGTAAATATGTATAAATGGCGAATAAAATTAGGGAGAAATATTAATACAAAGAACTTAACAATCATAACTTCTAAAACAACTACGTGAAAAATTTAGAATATTAGCAAGATAGTTCATGAATATACTAAGGTATTATATTGTTTTGCAATATTTATTTTTCATTATGTCCATTATAGAAAATTATTATTACAAAAAATTGGTTTTCATAACTTCAACAATTTCAATTTAGCGATACTGAGAACGTTTAAAGGTTATCTCTTTATAATATTATTATAGATTAGTTATTATTAGACAAAATCAATCAAACAAACTTTCTTGTAATCTGTTAACAATGTAATTGGAATTGTATAACAACGGTTCAGTTATTAATATTTCTAAATTATATTGAATATTCTTGGAAATTTTGTGGTAATAGACAGTACATTGATTATATGGTAAGAAAGGAAGTAAATAACGCGATGACTGCGAATAGGGATGAATGGAAACGAAAAACATATTACGCCGACCCCAAATAAATGGGATAAGGAAGAAGCAGATGATGATGATGATGATGATGAGACAGTACATTGATTATATAATGATTTGATCTAAATATTTGAGATTATTATTTATGTGTATGTTTTCTAATATTTAATGTAAAGTAACAGATTCTTTGTGATAAACTTAAGACTTAATTAACTTATATTATTAACGTAGAAGTGGTCGCCCTGTGTCGAAATTGGACTGCAATAAAAAATACATCTTTGAATCGCCATTAACAAATACACAAAAGAGTATATATGTGTGTGTATGTTTATTTGTTTATTTTTTTTGTAGAATGATAATAAAAAATATATTAGCATTCTGTACTCTTGCTATATGTAAATTATAAGTGCACGAAATTTCATACTTCTCCGTCCGTGTAATTTTCGTAAAAAGGGGTACAAAGTTGTTGCTTCACGTATTAATAATGATATATCGATAACTAACTGTGTCCGCGGTTTCACTATAAGCTATATTATTGTAGTTTCAATAAAAGTAAGTAGTAGTAGTTTTATTGGGTGTAAGTTACTGTAAGTATAGTGTTTTTTTCTTACACGTATATACTTTTTTACACCATTTTGTTATCTATCTATCTATCGAAAATCCACTCAGAAGTTTTTGTGTGAAAGAGTAAGAAACATCCATTCCTTCATCTCCACTCACAAACTTCCACGTTATAATATTAGTAAGACTATCGATTTTTGTCGATAAGAAAACATTTTATAAGAATGTAAAGGATCATCAAAAATTCGAGCCAAATGTTTTCTTAAACGTTCGCTGTTACAAACGCTGAGTCAGCTGGCATTATCGTGGGGTACCCGTATGCGGCCACTCCACTGCTGTAAAACATCTGGCTAACTTATATTAAAATATGTTCTATCTCAATAAAGTTTCTGATATTGTTGTTTACTGTACTGGCTAATCAGAAATGTATATTGTATTCATATGTATATTGTAATTTATAGTTTTGTTATTG